ATTAATATAATTATTACTATTCTTAGTATGTATGTCTTACAATTATTATTATTATTATTATTATTAATACAGGTCTCCCTCAACATTCGCGAGGGTTAGGGGATCAAGAGCCTCGCGAATGTTGAAAAATCGCGAATGTTTGATGCCCCAATATATTGTAGGGAAATATAATACAGTACTGCTTCCTTAACTTGTTGAACCATGAACAATCATAAAATACCAGAAAATGCCGTAAATTGTACTAAATACATACATGTTATACTTCAGTAACATGTATGTTATTAAATACCACTGCCTCCACCACTTCCTCAACCACTGCGAGTTCCTACTACCCTCCCTCCAACCGACAGCCAGCTCTCCCACCACTGTGTGGTGAGTGTTTTGTTTGTTCATTATTTGCTATTAAACTACAGTATAAATAATGTAAACCCATTCATGACTGCATATTGGAATGGCTATTCGGACAGGTATTGGAAGGTAACATCATGTGTTTACTCTTGAACACAGCAAAGAATCAAACATTTCTCCTACTGCTAATAATAACAATAGTAATAATAATAATATTAATCAAATGATCAAATGATTTAGATAAAGAAAAATTGGATATCAAATTGGGGAGGTATATCTATGGAGGCAAAGAAGGAAATGTATGAAAGTATAGTAGTACCAACACTCTTATATGGGTGTGAAGCTTGGGTTGTGAATGCAGCAGTGAGGAGGCGGCTGGAGGCAGTGGAGATGTCTTGTCTAAGGGCAGTGTGTGGTGTAAATATTATGCAGAAATTTCAGAGTGTGGAAAATAGGAGGTGTGGAGTTAATAAAAGTATTAGTCAGAGGGCTGAAGAGGGGTTGTTGAGGTGGTTTGGCCATTTAGAGAGAATGGATCAAAGTAGAATGACATGGAGAGCGTATAAATCTGTAGGGGAAGGAAGGCGGGGTAGGGGTCGTCCTCGAAAAGTTTGGAGGGAGGGGGTAAAGGAAGTTTTGTGGGTGAGGGGCTTGGACTTCCAGCAAGCTTGCATGAGCGTGTTAGATAGGAGTGAATGGAGATGAATGGTATTTGGGACCTGACGATCTGTTGGAGTGTGAGCAGGGTAATATTTAGTGAAAGGATTCAGGGAAACCGGTTATTTTTATATAGCTGGACGTGAGTCCTGAAAATTGAAAGTACAATGCCTGCACTCTAAAGGAGGGGTTCGGGATATTAGCAGTTTGGAGGGATATGTTGTGTATCTTTATAGGTACAGTGGACCCCCGGTTTACGATATTATTTCATTCCAGAAGTATGTTCAGGTGCCATTACTGAATGAATTTGTTCCCATAAGGAATATTGTGAATTAGATTAGTCCATTTCAGACCCCCAAACATACACGTACAAACGCACTTACATAAGTGGTTGCATTGGGAGCTGATCGTAAAGTGGGGGTCCACTGTATATGCTTCTAAACTGTTGTGTTCTGAGCACCTCTGCAAAAACAGTGATTATGTGTAAGTGAGATGAAAGTGTTGAATGATGATGAAAGTATTTTCTTTTTGGGGATTTTCTTTCTTTTTTGGGTCACCCTGCCTCGGTGGGAGACGGCTGACTTGTTAAAAAAAAATAATAACAATAATAAATACGATAGAATTGAAGAAGGAAATTGTACAAAAATACGAGGGAGTGGTTGACACATTTGTCAGTCAGTGTGGCTTTGTTTATGCTGGAGTGAGCATTAGTCTCTGTGCTCTTCCAAACATTTCACAATAATTCATTGTGTTTGGTGCTTGTAGATTGAGTGTGACTGGAGTGGTAGAGGCAGTGGTTGAGGAAGCGGTTGAGGCAGTGGGTGAGGCAGTGAGTGAGGCAGCGGTTGAGACAATGGTAGAGGCAGCAATTGAGGCAGTGGTATTTAATAACATATATGTTATAAATAATAATAGTACATGTTATTATTAATAACATGTATTATTATTAACAACATGTATTATTATTAATAACATGTATGTTATTAAATACCACTGCCTCAACCACTGCCTCAACCGCTGCCTCAACCGCTGCCTCAACCGCTGCCTCATCCGCTGCCTCACCCGCTGCCTCACCCACTGCCTCTACCATTGCCTCAACCGCTGCCTCAACCGCTGCCTCAACTGCTGCCTCAACCGCTGCCTCAACCGCTGCCTCAACCGCTGCCTCAACCGCTGCCTCAACCGCTGCCTCAACCGCTGCCTCAACCGCTGCCTCAACCGCTGCCTCAACTACTGCCTCACCCACTGCCTCAACTGCTGCCTCACCCACTGCCTCAACTGCTTCCTCAACCACTGCCTCTACCACTCCAGTTGCACTCAATCTACAAGCACCGAACACAATGAATTATTGTGAAATGCTTGGAAGAGCAGGGAGACTAATGCTCACTCCAGCATAAACAAAGCCACACTGACAATGTGTCAACCACTCCCTCGTATTTTTGCACAATTTCCTTCTTCAATTCTATCGTATTTATTATTATTATTATTATTAGTTATTATTATTATTATTATTATTATTACTATTGTTATTATTAGCAGTAGCAGAAATGTTTGATTCTTTGCTGTGTTCAAGAGTAAACACATGATGTCACCGTCCAATACCTGTCCAAACAGCCATTCCAATATGCAATCATGAATGGGTTTACATTATTTATATTGTATTTTAATAGCAAATAATGAACAAACAAAACACTCCCCACACAGTGGTGGGAGGGCTGGCTGCCAGTTGCGGGGGTCGGTGGGAGGGTAGTAGGGACTCGCAGGTGGCGGGAAACTTAAATATGATTTGGCGGCTGGGAATTTGGCGGTTGGGAATTCGTGAATGTGTGAGGCCTGTGAAAGTTGAAAACGCAAATGTTGAGGGAGACCTGTACGCATTATAATTATTATTACAGTGGACCCCCGCATACCGCACGCATCGCATACCGTACAATCCGCATACCGCTCTCTTTTTTCGCAAAAATTTTGCTGCTGCTGTAGCATCGTCTGTTGCTGCTGTAGCATCGTCTGTTGCTGCTGTAGCATCGTCTGTTGCTGCTGTACCACCGTCAGCTGCAGCTGCTGCTGTAGCACCGTTGTTGGTGTGGCTTATTGAGAATACCAAGAAACAATTAACCCCAGAGGATTTGCCACCCAGGATAACCCAAAAAAGTCAGTGTCATCGAAGACTGTCTAACTTATTTCCATTGGGGTCCTTAATCTTGTCTCCCAGGATGCAACCCACACCAGTTGACTAACACCCAGGTGAACAGGGAAAAATGCCTGGAACTAGTGCTCATATTGGTGAATTTAAAGCCAGCAAAGGTTGGTTTGAGAGATTTAAGAATCGTAGTGGCATACACAGTGTGATAAGGCCTGTTCTGGAAGAAAATGCCAAATAGGACCTACAGTACTCAGGAGGAAAAGGCACTCCCAGGACACAGTGTCTCATCAGTCATTGCTGCATCTTCAATAAAGGTAAGTGTCATTTATTCTTCATTTAGTAGAGTAGAACATGCACAATATATATTGTGCATGTACTACTCTACTATTGTGCATGTATCCTTCTCTTTGTGTGTAGGAAAATGTATATTTCATGTGGTAAAAATTTTTTTTTCATACTTTTGGGTGTCTTGCACGGATTAATTTGATTTCCATTATTTCTTATGGGGAAAATTCATTCGCATACCGAACATTTCGCATAACAATCAGCCCTCTTGCACGGATTAAAGTCGCTATGCGGAGGTCCACTGTATATGTGAAACTCCTTGAGGCATGGTGGTAAAACGGGTGTCAATAAACTGCTGACATTGCAGCAGTGGAGTGACACTTGATGATCGTGCATTACTGCAGGGAACCCTGGCTTTATTTGTTTTCAGTGTTACACACAAACATGTTTGTATGTCTGTCTGTCTGTCTGTTTGTCTATCTGTCTAGCTCTGCTTATCTGTCTTTCTGTCTGCCTGTGTGTGTGTCTTTTTCCCTCTGCTTGTCTCTGTCTCAGGGAGCGGCTCGTAAACCTGTTGATTTACGAGCCGCACTCTGAATCCTGAGCAAGTGAAAATGCGTATTACTTGCGTCATGCTATGCCTTTTATCTACAAGCACTGTATAGCACTTTGCGTGGAATTTTTGGGTTATCCTAGGTAATTTACACTATGTATAATAACTGTACTTATGTGTACCAGTGAGAGATAGACAGAGACAGAGATACAGACAAACAGACAGTGATACAGACAGAGATATAGACAGACAGATACAGACAGCCAAAGTCAGTCAGCTAGCTAGCCAGCCAGCCAGCCTGCCAAATACATATGACATTCTGGCAGGATGACACTACCAGTGGTATCAGAAATGAAAGGATGTTACACAAATGTTGCAGATGTGTTATTATCGAGGTTTTTGAGATTTCCTCGACCACTTGTGGCCTCATCCATCTCAAAGCCACTAAACTCTGGGTCTACATCACTTTCCTCTTAAAAGGGGAGCGTTAATACGACATGACGCAAGTGAATCCCTAGTGTTTGCCATGCTGTTTGCTCTAGCTGGCTCTCAGTTGAACTGGTGCTCCCACAAGGAACTAAGTAGTCCCAGATTTTTTTAATAATGTGCACACCAAGTGTTAAGACCCATTCTATACTGACCAGGCATCTCAGGCCAATCATGCTAATTTTGAAGGAATGAAAAATAAAATGTTGATCTACATTTGGAGCGCTACACACATGAATGTAGATCTAACGTGTTGACAGTTTAAGGGCTAATTAGACAATCGGATTCCCCTTGTCTGTGCTATTTAAATTTTTTAAATTTCCACATCCTCTAGGAACATTATTCCCCATGAATTTCTAAAGTGTACTTCTCTATCTTCTGGCAGTCATTCATCCACTTCACCTGATTCTTACCTTTCTCCTTCAATCTACAAATTACTGTACTGTTATTCCATAGTATTATAAGTTCTCATGTTACTTGAAAGTTTTATATTTATTCCTTCTTCTTGGTTTTTTTATGTTACCTTAGGCTCAAGGGCAGTGATGCTTCGGGCCTGACAGGCAATGAACTGCCAGCTTCAGAATGCCAAGAATTCTCAGATGATGAGGAAGAAGCAAGAGTATTAGGAGGAAAGAAGCAAAATAAGGTTAGTATTAGAGTGATCAAGAAAGTTACATAATTAATGTAATGATTTAGTTTAAAAAAAGAAAAGGCACATGTGGCACTGCTTTAGGACAGTTAATGTACAAAGACTTATTCTATATAAATTATAATATACTATATTATTGATGACCAAGTTTTATTGATCTAATATTTTCTTTTGTACATGGTGCAATGAAGTAACTCTTTAAAGTATTTTTAGACTTCTTGCCTTAGATGAACTAATTTTGTTACAGATGCAACACTGATTTACCAACAACAGATTGTATGGCACCTCTTTCGGTTCAGACAAAATTATGAGACTACTTTTTTACCAAATAGTTAATGGGGCGGCCACAGATGGTGTTGTATATAGTGCGTCTTTACTTAAATTGTTTACACTGCAGTTGTTGGTGGTGATCACTTGATTCTGTGCAGTTCTTAGCATATTTTACTAACAACCCTCGTTATGGCTAGTGATTAGATTTGTAGCTCCAGTAAAATTCTAAAATTTGCCATTTTGGGAGTGGTAATATTCTTTGTAAGTACAGTAGTAGATAAACCTGTTTCTAAATAACAAAAAGGCACAATACCGTGACTGGAACAATACACAAATAACCCGCACATAAAAGAGAGAAGCTTACGACGACGTTTCGGTCCGACTTGGACCATTGACAAAGTCACACTAACAGAGGTGGAGCAGGACGGCTATATATAGGCAGGAAGAGGTGGTAGTAGTAGTAGTACAAGAATTGTATATAATACCGACAGGATGAAATTAAGACACATGCACAACACCCGGGCATCCCCATCGTAGACGTTCATACCTCTCCTCCCTCTACAGATGTTCCTGGTGTCTACTCTATTTCTTGCTCCTCCTGTCCTCTTCAATACTTCGGAGAAACTGGTCGATCTCTTTCTGACAGACTTAGGGAGCACAAAAATAGTGTTAGGCTTGCTGACACTAACAATGCTCTTTTCTGTCACGTCAGAGATCATAGCCATCCTATTGACTGGTCTTCTGCTAAAACTGTCTTCCCTACTTCCAACTTGAACAGTCGCCGTCTAGTTGAATCCTCTCTAATACACAACTTTCCTTGTATGAACCTTAGCCCTGGCTTCGTCTCTGTAGATGCCTTCCTTTCCCACTACATTGTAAAATGCTCCAAACTTCAGAACACCCGTGACTTAACCTGAATCCTCACTTTTTCTTTTTCTTTTTCTTCTTCCTCTTCCCCTTTCCTCTCTCCTTTTCTCCTCTGGGTTGTCTTTCTCTCTTCTGTCTCGTGTTTCTGTTCCTTCTTCATTTATTTTATTTCACCACTTCCCCTTTCACGCACCTCTGTGCGCTTGCTCTCCCTCTGTGGGTATCTAGCTCTCTTGCAGTGCTCCCCTTCCTTTGTATTTGACTGGCTCGTCTTCCTTATTTCCCACTTTCTTCCGCTACCACTTACTACTACCTCTTCTTCTTCTACTACAATACTGTTGAAATTAAGACACATGTGCGGCGTCTGGCTGTCGTTGTTGTGGACGTTTTCGCCATCCAGTGGCTGGCTGGATGGCAAAACGTCTACGATGGGGATGCCCGGGTGTTGTGCATGTGTCTTAATTTCATCCTGTCGGTATTATATACAATTCTTGTACTACTACTACTACCTCCACCTCTTCCTGCCTATATATAGCGTCCTTCCAACCTCTGTTAGTGCTAGGACTTTGTCAATGTCCAAGTGGACCGAAACGTCGTCGTAAGCTTCTCTCTTTTATGTGCGGGTTATTTGTGTATAAACCTGTTTCATTTATGCTAATGTTTATGTTTCTAACAGACTATGGTGGGTCATTAGTGTATTGTTTAATTATTATTATATGACCTTTGTTGGTTCGGCAAAGTCGATATACAAGCAAAGCCTAGGACCCAAGGGTGCCTGAAAATCGGTTTTGTACCTGTATCATTTTTATAAAAGTATTATAAATATTCCCCAATTTCCAGCATACATTAATTTTTGTGAATACATTTTTGTCTTTTGGTTGCCCTGTCTGAGTGGAAAACAACTAACATGTGCTCTCTTTCATGGCTAAGTGATATCAGTAAGATTTGACATTGAAATCTCATAATGCAGTCAGGTGGTTAAAACAGTAAAAATTAATTCACAAGAATTTCATTTGCACCATCGCTCATCAGAGAGTAAATTCGTACTAACACTGTTGTTGTTCAAACAGTGGATGCATGCCTCATGAGTTGCCACCATCCATGAATCTCATACATATATTTTCACATAATTTTGAAGCAGTAGTTTTAAGAGTCATACAGAGGTTATGTAATTACAATATTTATAAACTGAAATGTTACCAAAATTAACATTTCAGTTTAGTTTACTATCTTCTCATACTAACATGTTGTATTAAACTTAGCATTCAGACAGTCAAACTTGAATTATCTTTAACTCACCAGCTGTCTCCCACCAAGGCAGGGTAGCCTAAAAAGAAAAATTAAAGTTTGGGAAACACAAGATGTACAATGAAAAATGGAAGTTTTTTTTGTTACATTTGTAATTTATACAGGAGGAGTTACTAGCCTCTTGCTTTAATTATGCATTGTGAAGTAGTTTCAAGGCCTAATTTTAAGGTTTAATCTTAGTATGCCTAAAATGCTTTGCATAATCAGTGGTTTTTCATTAAGGTTCAAATCCATGCCACATACTTTTTGTCACCATTTCTAACCATTATGAGTCTATATGGGAATAAAGATTTGTAGTTGTATTTTCTTTTGTTATCCTTTCCTCCTCTTCCCTCCTCTCTCTGTTTTACCTCTCCCTTCCCCTACTCCTATATCTTGCATTTCCCATTATCCACTATTCTGATATTATTCATAATTTACCTACATTTTGCTTTTCTCAGTCTAATTGTTTTTCTTCATCATTTCTCAAGATATTTTAATTTTTTCATCTATTGTTCCTCATATTTTATATTTTTTCAGTTGTGCATGTTTAAATAAACAATTAGTAGCTGAAAATTAGCTGTAAATACTGTAACTAATTTAATTGATCATTTTCTTATGCAGTATACAACATCTACAAATGAATTCCAGTCATGTAGAAAACGTGGAAAGGGGCAAGTTCATGGTGAAGCTCGTGACCGTGGACACACTCATGAAAATGGCAATAATATTCCATTTCATGGGAGAGGCAAGGTTTCCAGACCACCCACCAGGTTTGGCTATCCACCAGCAATGCACCCAAGGTTCAGGCCACGGGGACCTCCACCTTTTTCTATGGGTCCTCCAGACTTCATACCGGGCTCTCCTGGTTTTCAAGGACCCTCACGAATGCATCGGAATCCTGAGCCACACGACCCAAGACCATTTTCTAACTTCCAGAACCGGGTAGAAATGACTGCTGATCAAGGCATGGCTTTGATTACCATGAAGGTGATGGATATCACAATGGTCCTCCCACTAGCACAGCTGCTTGGCCTCAGCCGTCAAACATTCAGTTTGGGGGACCTCCACAGTTCTCCAGTCCCAGGGGGTATTTCCATCCCCGTGGTTTAGCAGGTCCTCTCGGTGTCTCAGATCATCCAAACCCCCCTCCCTCCCCTGTAGAGAATTCGTTTGGCCTTGGGAATCCATTGGGATCTTTTGGTGATGTAATGCAAGCCTCCCAGCCTTCCCATCTTACTCAGGACATGAATCTGTTGTTGGCATGCTGCCACCCCCTCCACCAAGCAATATGCCACAAATGCATCCCAACATATCACTTGCACCTCCACACAGCATGCTGCCACCACAGAGCATGTCATTACCACCACCGCCACCTCCACCACCACATAACATGCCACCACCACCATCACACATGGCATCACTGCCACCATGTAATATGCCTCCACCAAACTGTATGCCATCACCCAACAATATGACATCACCACCACCATCACATAGTATGCCTCCACCACCACCACACACTGTGACACCACCATCAACCCATAATATGCCTCCACCGCAACACAACATGACACCACCACCGCCATCACATAGTATGACACCACCACCATTACATAATATAACCCCACTGCACCCACCACACAGCATGCCCCCTCCACCACCAATGCATCACATACCATCCCAACCACCCCCACCTCATATACCATTTGATCACACCCAAGCTCCACCTTCAGTGCCTCCAACAAATTATTAACTGAACGGTGAGTTATCTTGAGTATGTTAAATAATGAGCATTTAGAACAGCAACTTTACTTGTTTGAGTTATCACCTTATATTCACACTTGGTGGCTCTAAAGAACTGGCTTTATCTTTTTCAAGCTAAATGTCACCTTTAACCCTTAAACTGTCTAAACGTAGATCTACGTTCACCTGTGTGGCGCTCTGAATATTTTGAAAAATAAGAAAATCTTTTTTTTTTTTTTTTTTTAAAGAGGGCTATTTTCTGTGTGGTACAAAACCAAAAAAAAAAATTTAGGACAAGTACTTACCAAGATATAAGACCATGAAGTTGGCTCTGGATGCTCACCTGATGGCAACATCCAGTCCTGCCGCTTGCAGAAGTGTTGCCGATTTACCTTTTTTTCTCGTTTTTATTTTAATTTATATAATTTTTATGTTCTGATAATTAGAATTTATAATAGTTCTTGTGATTCATAGCCAATCTTTGTTCTGACACACTCATGTACTGATAAATTGTAATTAATATCATATACTGATAAACTGTAACAATCACACTGACAGGTGAATATTTTCACCTGCCCTGGCCATTTACTATTGTCTAGAAATATATACAAAGTATTTATAGGTCCCAGCTGGGGTATGAAACTCCTTGAATGGTGTTATGACAAGGGTCAGATAAGTGACATTTTATGAATGTGCCCTGCTGGAGGGAACCTTGCCTTTATATGTTTTTACTCTTGCACACAAACATGTCTTTGTATATCTGTCTGTCAGTCTATCTGTCTGCCTGACTATCTGTCTGCCTGTCTATCTGTACATCTATCTGTATCTGTACATCTATCTGTCTGTCTGTCTGCCTAGCTCTACTTATCTGTCTGTCCAGTTCAGCTTATCTGTCTTCTGTGTGTGCCTGGAGTATAATATGAACTCCTTGAATAATGGTGTTATGACAGGCGTCAGATAGCAAGTGACATTTGATGAATGTGCACTGCTGGAGGGGAAACCTTGCCTCTATATGTTTTTACTCTTGCACACAAACATGTCTCTGTATGTCTGTCTGTCAGTCTATCTGTACATCTATCTGTACATCTATGTCTGTCTGTGTGTCTAGCTCTGCTTATCTGTCTGTCTAGTTCTGCTTATCTGTCTTTTTGTCTGCCTGTGTGTCTGTCTCTCCATCTGCTTGTCTCTGTCTCAGGGAGCGGCTAGTAAACCTGTTGGTTTGTGGTGTATGTGCTGCTCCCTGATTGCTGAGCAAGTGACACTGCTATTATTTGCATCATGTTTATTTATGTCTTATATCTACAAACACTGTATAGCACTTGGCCTGGAATTTTTGGGTTATCCTAGGTAATTTACATTATATATAATAACTGTATTTATGAATACATGTGAGAGACAGAGATACAAATAGACAGTGATATAAACAGAGATATAGACAGATACAGACAGAGACAGCCAAAGCCAGCCAGCTAGCCAGCCGAATACATAAGAGATATAGACAGATACAGACAGAGACAGCCAAGGCCAGCAGTAGCCGCGAATACCTAAGAACATAAGAAAGAAGGAACACTGCAGCAGGTCTACTGGTCCATGCAAAGCAGGTCCATGTCACCCCCCAGCTTAGACCAATGACACACCTAGTGAGGTCACATCCACTGAAAGAAGGAGCATGACATCTGACCCAGTAGCACAAGCTAGTCAGGTCCAACTCACATGCACCCACACCCACTCACGTATTTATCTAACCTAGTTTTACTTTCCTCTTAAAATGTGAGTGTTAATATGACATGACATCAGTGAATCACTGGTGTTTGCAACACTGTTTGCTCTAGCTGGCGCTTCAGTTGAACTGGTGCTCTCACAAGGTACTAAGTGGTCCCAGATTTTTTTCATAGTGTGCACACTGAGTGCACAGACCTATTCTTTCATGTAGGTGACCAGGCCTATCGCACCAAATTTGAAGGAATGAAAAATAAAACATTGATCTACGTTCAGAGCCCACTGCACGTGAACCTATATCTACGTGTGGACATTTTAAAGGTTAAAGCATTCAAGGGAGATTATTTGAAGCCAGTGAGGGTCTGTTATTCCAAGGAACTGGACCTGTTCTTCTCTTAGATTAAATCTGATTACTGCCTATTTCAAAAGCACACTATAACCTCTGGTTTTTAGCTCTTCTTTCTAAATATAATAATAATTACATTTGAAATTACACTGGTGATAGATATTTCAAACTTTACAGTAAAATACTGTACATGTGTAAATTAACATTGATGCAACTAGTGTTGAACTCAATGTCAATTTTAATACAATGGAGAGGAAATGCAGAGTATTGATAAACAATGAAATGTATTTTAAAAAAAAATAATCAGCCCCTCAGAAAATGTAAGGTGCTAGCTGAAAATGTCAGAAACAGTAGTGTTCCTATTCTTGAAACTACAGTAGGTCGTTGATTAACCTGTGACTGGTTATAATTATTTGGCTTTCAGCATTATCTGGCAGTCTTGTTCCATCCAATGCTGAAAACAAATATATAATGAAAAAAGAGGTGTCTGTAAAACAAAGGGACTACAAAATTTATGTGAGTTGCATTGTTGAAAACCCACTGTAACCCTTTTCTCCTTTTCCCTGAAAGGGACTGAATAATCATTGTTCAGTTGTATTGCTGTATAATTATACACTTCCCATTAAAAGAACTCCATAACATGATGTGTTATTCTCCTGTTATCTGGTATTAACTCCTCCCATTTCTATCAGACTGAAAACTCATTTCTTATGAAATCAAGCATCTGCCATTGATGTAGAAGACTGTTGATAATTTGTTTGTAAAAGAGGTAGTGGACATCACAATAATGTGGACTCCTCTCAAGAGGTTTCTTGATACCAGTAAGGGGCTCTTGATTTAAGGATTTGTATGGGACCACATCCTTGGCTCAAACCTGATTGCCTCCCATTTGCCCAGGGGATGTATAACCTCTACCAGTGTAGTGCTCTGCCAGTGAATGTAATAATACAGTGAATTTGGATTATAATAGATTAAGTAATAATAATTTCTTAGAAGAATATGAATGTTAGGTAATTTTTTTTTTTTCAACAAACCGGCCATATCCCACCAAGGCAGGGTGGCCCAAAAAGAAAAATGAAAGTTTCTCTTTTCAAATTTAGTAATTTATACAGAGAAGGGGTTACTAGCCCCTTGCTCCTGACATTTTAGTCGCCTCTTACAACACACACAGCTTATGGAGGAAGAATTCTGTTCCACTTTCCCATGGAGATAAGAGGAAATAAACAAGAACTAGTAAGAAAATAGAAGAAAACCCAGAGGGGTGTGTATATATATGCTTGTACATGTATGTGTAGTATGACCTAAGTGCAAGTAGAAGTAGCAAGATGTACCTGAAACCTTGCATGCTTCATGAGACAGAAAAATGGACACCAGCAATCCTACCATCATGTAAAACAATTACACTCACTTGGCAGGACAGTAGTACCTCCCTGGGCGGTTGCTGTCTACCAACCTACTACCTATAATGCTAGGTAATATGGTTTTTTTACATGGAATACCTGTAACACCTAAAATAACATTACCTCTTTTTACTCTGTTATTATTATTATTTTTTTTCTCTCTCAAGTCGGCCGTCTCCCACTGAGGCAGTGTGACCAAAAAGAAAATACTTTCATCATCATTCAACACTTTCACCTCACTCACACATAATCACTGTCTTTGCAGAGGCGCCCAGATACGTACAACAGTTTAGAAGCATATTAAAGAATATAAATACCCTC